AATTTTCAAACTATATTTGTGAATATAAAAAAATCATATTTTTTGTTTAGGATTTCTTATAAAAATCACATGATAACATTTTTAAAAAAATCAAGACTCACGCTGTATATACTGTACATGTACGGCATATGTATATTAATAAACAAAAAAATTTGTCATATGTTGTAATGATACATGTACATATAATTATGAAATATTTGGTTTGTACTATTTTGTTTTTTTTTATTTTTAATATAAATATTGGAATGATAAAAGGATTTGATTAATATACTGTACGTAATATATTTTTTTTTCATTAATAAACCGAGACTTAGATAAAAAGAATAAACTCTTATTTTAATAATAAGCGCAAATAGAATATAAAAATATACAAGTTATGTGAAATACAATAATTATTAATTTTTTTCGGGAATCTCCAGGGATCGAAAAAACGAGCGGTTTTAATACAATAACGTGCGTGATACTTCAATATCGGTTTTACTCTTTATGCACACATACCGTATCCATTCTTTATACACAAGGTCCCTGACTAGATAGGCCTCTTGATTAATATTTAACCTATCATAAACCTGCCTGCAATAAATATTTTCACATAGATAAGATCAGAAGATAACCAAAATTTTTTTAAAATTCTCGTGGTGAAACAAGAATCAATAAAACTCATGTGGCGATATAATTAAAAGAAGCGCTTAAACTTGTTCTTTTCATGTACGATATTAATTTTTGTTCATAACAAATTTTAATAAAATTTTCGCAACAACATAATATTTTTAACTGGTATAAATATTTACGTTGAAGTTATAATTAGCAGCAAATCATACAAAATCTGCATAAAAAATATTGATTTGTTTATTCGCATTGAAGTGATTCACAGACTATTGGAGTAGTAACTTGGCACGAGCCATGAGTATTTGTATGTAACAATCGTGGAAGAGCACGCTTCTTTATTTACAAAACATATCACGTGTCCGACGGTGGAATTTTTTGTCAATGCCGAGAGGATCCAATTAGTGCATCTCTGTAAAGCCGACAATGGCACACGCGATTCATAACAAAGGATCGAAATTCCTAACCTTGATCGATAATGCATAAAACAAACATACGTTAAGGAAAATCGGTCAAAAAGAAAATGGAAAAGGAGAAAGAATTAATAATTCGGTCTTTTGTTTGTTATCTTTTTACATCGAACGATTAAAAAGAATGATAAATCTCACGATATGTATCTACTTTGAAAGTGAGCGTCGTCATGTGTTTAAGAATAAACCTGTAGAATCTTTAGGATTCTTTATCCGATATCTCAATGTCTTAATTGGTGTGCATACTTGAATGCTCTTGGGTACTTTTATTTGTTACATATTAAAAGTTGTGTAATATGTGCGGGTAGAAATTAATTAGATTTAACGGATATTCAATATACAGTATTATGTAAAGGTTATTCCGATGACGCGCTTTTGTCCTTTTTTTTTTTTTTCCTACAAGACAAACAATATACGCATTATCGAAAAAAAAGATTGATATAATGATATTTGGAAAGGGTCACGTGAGGGCCACAGAATTTATGGCTGAATTCGGAATCTATACGAATGTGGGGTTTGCAGTTCCCTGCGTAAATCTTGTATCACATTCCCATTCCTAGAAATATTATTTGATATGACACAAATGTATAACGAATTTCTACTGATTTTTTTCCGATGTTTGTTTGTTTGGCACATCAGTCACGCCATCATTTATCCAATGGTATCGAATCGGTCGGCATATAGCGAATTATATCATTGATTCTCATTGGTCTGACCTGAAAAATATTCGTGCATGTTTTTTTTTGCCACGCGATGCATCAATATAATTTGTACCTTCCAAACGTTGGCGTCAATGTGTTCCAGAAAAACTTTCTCATGCAATGCGGTCCGCGCTTTCAATATACTTGTTTTGGCGTAAGATTTCTTTGTCTACTTTTTATATATTACGTCATTGTGTTCAATCAGAAAAACTTTTTCTTAAATTAAGGCCAATGAAGTTTTTATCTTATCTTATTTTGTGGCGTTTTATAACATAACTGGATTTTTAAGGTTAATACAATATAGTCGGAAGAAACTTTTCCCGAAGCATTGTGGTACAGATTAAGCAGTTTTCAACCAGTTGTGTAAACAGTGTGGGGGCTGGGAAGTTTTTCCGGTAATGCAAAAGCACAATTGGCCACTTTGCCTAACCAATTATGGAAAGAATTATGCAAGTGTCCTATTGTGATTATTTTTTATTCATGCCCTTTCGCTTCTTGACCAAATCCAGAAGAAATTTCATATGCTTACTTGTTCTAATAGAACACAAAATTCCTTTTCAGAGGTAATTTGTAATTCGTAATTCGTTGAACCCATAATGGCGCCTAGTTTCGATGATAATGATAAGGTCATAATTAAAATTTTAAGATCAACGATTGGTCCTTGATAATTACGAGTGATCTAGACGTGGACGGAAAAATTCAAACCACCCGATTTTATAATAATTTTTAAGGGTTCAACAATCGCATAGTTTATAATATGGACAACGCCTAAAACATACAAACAAACAATAAGTCATCGACTAAATATCTTATAACAGATGATTAAATGGTAAACACAGATCAAGTGCTCGTTTAGGCTAACCTTTTCTTTTTTGTAAGGAAACCGTTCGTAAACTGTCATCGGTCTCCCGGGGAATGTGTTGAATTGAAAGGAATCCCTTTTCAGGGGTCAAAATATTCTCTGCATAATTATTTACGCTCGCGTTTCCCTTGTCCATCCTTTGGCACCAATTACTTTTCACCCATTGAAAATTGGTGGCATCAATATTTACTTCTTATCTCGTGATTAGGTGGTCGCACAAGTGTCACGAGATGGCGATCGGGGCCCTGAAGAGGCAATGCAACGAACCAATAGATATTATTCCAGTAATTTTTGGGATTGGTTTAAGTTTGTAATTAGTCCGACCACGCCCCGGGAAAAAATCTGAACTTTAAAAGGTCACACAACGTTTACAATTCCAGAGATTCGGTGCTACCATTAATTAAAGCTATACGGTATATGAAGGTTGTCTTTTGTACAACTGAATTCTTTCTTTTTCATTCAAGAACGATTTGCGTTAGTGAAAAGTAAAAGGAACTCGGAAAAAGGGCGTCCCTTGTTTTCGTGCAATATTTAAATTTTATCGATAAACATTGTCATACATGCAAAATCACAAACTTGGAACGAGTGGAAAGGTGGAGAGAACGTGGATGGTTACACCACCTGTTGTATTAACATCACATCCCAGCCTTCGACTTTTTTGTGTGTTCACCTGCTGATCTAGGAATTTCTTCTTATTTACGTTGCTCACCGTGAAATTTTCAGTCCTCTCATATCGACTTCTTCTTTTTTTTTTTTTTCGTTTCACCGGTTTTTTCATTCCCAATTTCACCGGTTATTTATATATATGTTTATTTATATATTTATTTATATTTATATTTATATTCCATAATTTGTTGCATATTATCTATCTTATTTTATGTTTCGGAATAACTAACTCCACTCTTGCTAACGGTACACAATACTCGCCGCCACCATTAAGCGATCAAATATAAGAAAGCCCCCAAATTTAGTTTGGTAAACTGTTCGCATCGTATTTCCTTTTCTTTTCTTTTCCTTTTTTTTTTTTTAGATTTTAAATCTTTGTTGATGAATCGAACCAAGGTCACTGTTGCATGTCAAGCTTGCCAGAAGAAGAAGGTCAAGTGTACAGGTGTCGCCCCCTGCACTAATTGCGAGAGGACCAGAAATCATTGTGAATTTACCGGAAATGCCAAAAAACGTGGCCCCAGAAATGGCACTGTTGAGGTGATCAAAAGCCCAGCAAAACGAATAGAAAACGCTCTGAAAAAGGATCCGAGTCTCAAAGGCACATTTGATGATTTGTTGGCAAAAAAAAATTTTTGTCAACCTATCCGTTCTGCGAGACCAGCTTCAGTTACACCTACCAATGCCTCAATAGTGATAATCGATGATGATACGGACACTATTCAATCGATGTCTGCATACACAAATGCTCCGAGGAATTATTCTAATTTCTCGCGACAAAGAAATGGTAAACAACAACTTTACGCAAACAATTAATAAACAAGAATTTGATTCTTTATCCGAGTAATATTTAATATTGACCTTTTATGAAACCATCTTCTTTCCCCCCCCCCCCCAAAAAAATAATAACAAAAGCCACTATTAATTTAAATGCATATCCACGAGACGATGTTTCCGCCGAGATGCACCAAGGATTCGGACGTGAGTTTGACACAGCCACAACAATCTTGAGGCGACCGGTGCCCGTATACCCTCCAGTTATGCAGAGAAATCATGTGACCAACGGGATTTACCTCTCGGACACTTATCAAGATTCATCGCATGCGGACATTGATACTGCACATTCTCTTCCACCAATAACATCCTTCGAATCATTCCCCTCGCCGCCAAAAGACCATATATTGCCCGGAAACCCTTCCGAATTTCCAAGGCCTCATCCAGGTTTGGGTTCCTTGCCAACAATATCCTCCGAACACTTGACATTGCCACCGCCATGGACTCTCCCCCCCAAAAAGCCAATGTCCATGCCAATATTCGATTCTCCTTCAGGAATGCCGATTTTACTTCCTCCTGCGCCAGATGTAGGCAACCCTTTAAATAATAGGTCGAAATATATTACACCCCGATTTGACGATTCGAAGAACATGACCTTGAAAGCGAACATGAGTAACGATTATCATCTGTCACAAGATATTGATTTTCACACCGACAAACCCTTCTCTGCGGCAACGACTTTTCCCTCTCCCACCTTATTATCCCCGAAATCAAATCCGCCGCCAAAAATTGAAAAATCAAATAATACCTTGAACAATTTTAACCCACCCACGCCAGCTTGTTCGCTGTCCCCACCAGAG